TTGAAGTATATGTGGACGACATGGTGATCAAGAGCCTGCATGAAGACAAAATGTTACAAGATATTGAGGAGACTTTCCGAAACCTAGAGGCGGTAAAAATGAAGCTGAACCTAGCCAAGTGTACGTTTGGGGTAGAAGAGGGGCAATTCTTGGGGTACTATGTCACCAGACAAGGAATTCAGCCCAACCTGACCAAGGCCGGTGAATTCATTGAGACACCGACACCGAACTCCCTCCGAGATGCTCAAGGTATGAATGGAAAACTCATAGCCCTAAGCAGGTTCATTTCGAAATCTGCTGACAAGGCCATGCTATTGTTCCACACATTGAAGGGATGTATTGAGAAAAGGAATTTCCAGTGGATGGATGAAGCAGAAAAGGCGCTCCAAAGAATCAAGGAAGCACTACATGAATTACCCACGCTGGCCAGCCCCATCACTGGAGAGATGCTACAGGTGTATCTCTCGACATCAGGCGAAGCAATATCTTCAGTATTGATGGTAGAAAGGGGAGGGGAACAGAAACCGGTATACTTCGTTAGTAGGGCGCTGCAAGGACCGGAACTCAACTATCCCACATTAGAAAGGCTGCATCTGGCGCTCATCTACGCGGCACGACAACTAAGACAATACTTTCAGGCACACCAGATCAAGGTGCTCACACGTTACCCCATCAAACAGATACTACTCAAGCCGGAGACGTCGGGCCGACTGGCGAAGTCGGCAATCGAACTAGGAGAACACGACATAAATTACCACCCAAGAACGAATATCAAGGGACAAGCGCTAGCAGACTTCTTACTAGAAATTCCGAGCGGAAGGGACCCAACCAAAGAGAAAGTGTGGGCAGTTGAGGGGGCCCCGGCTGACAACAGCTCATGGACTTTGTATACGGATGGGGCATCCAGTAGGGAAGGCTTAGGGGTGGGGCTGATTTTGACCAGCCCGGAGGGAGAAGAGGTAACCTACGCCCTTCGTTTTGATTTTCATACGTCAAACAATGAAGCGGAGTACGAAGCGCTACTCGCAGGATTGCGTCTAGCCAAACAGATGGGCGCGAAAGCTGTAACAGCCCTAACAGACTCGAGGCTAGCAGCAAACTAGGTCTGAGAAATCAAAGGATGGGAAAGTATGTAAAGATGGTGAATCAATTGGTAGGACTATTCGAGCGGTTCACAATCAAGCAGATACCTAGGAGTGAAAACAAAAGGGCTGACGCCTTAAGTAAGTTGGCATCCACATGCTTCGACCATCTGTCGAAGAAGGTCCTAGTGGAGGTACTTCGCGAAAGAAGTATAAATGAGCAGTAGGTGAACGCCTTAGCCCCAGCTGGACCCACGTGGATGATGCTGTTCCGAGAGTACTTATAGAGAGGGGTGCTACCAGACGACCAGGGGGAGGCTAGGAAGATACGTATAAAAGCACCTTTGTATGCAATGGTTAACGGGGAATTGTACAAGAAAGGGTTTACGGCCCCATGGCTAAAGTGTGGGGACCAAGCCAAAGGGAAAGAGATGTTACAAGAAGCACACTCAGGCCAGGTAGGCGCACACGAAGGGGCGCGGGCTTTAACGAACAAGGTGTTGCGCATGGGGGTGTATTGGCCGATAATAAAACAAGATGCGATAAAAATGACCAGGAAATGTGGGGAGTGCCAGTCTTACGCCCCAATCCAAGCGCCCCCGGCACCGTTGCACAACATATCCATCCCATGGCCATTCTACCAGTGGGGCACATATATAGTGGGCCCATTCCCAGAAGCACCAGGAAAGCTAAAGTATATGGTGGTGGCCGTAGATTACTTCACAAAATGGATCGAAGCAGAGCTAATGGTGTGCATATCGGGGAGGCACATGATAAAATTTGTTTGGAAGAACATCATGACATGATTTGGCACCCTTAAAGTCCTTGTCGATGATAACGGCCTACAGATCGTTGAGAATCCATTCAGAGAGTGGTGCACCACAAAAGGGATAAGCCAACGATTCACATCAGTAGCACACCCGCAAGCGAATGGACAGACAGAGGTGTCCGATCGAACCACTGTGAATGGAATCAAGAAGAGGCTGGGCAAGGCAAAAAGGAATTGGGCGGAGGAGATACCGATGGTACTGTGGTCGTACAGAACTACACCACGAACAAGTACGAAGGAAACACCCTTCAGTCTGACATACGTGATAGAGGTCATGCTTCCCATGGAGGTGGCAGTGAGCACACTAGGGGTGACCAACAATGATGAGGAAAGCAATGCTCAAAACCTAAGGATAAATTTGGATGCCCTTAAGGAAAAGCATGAAAAATCTAGATTGCGCCAAGTTGCATACAAGCACGCGACAGAAAGGTATTATGACCAAAGAGTAAAGGAAAAAGCGTTTAGAGTTGGTGAATATGTTTTAAGAAAAAACGAGGCAAGTCGAGCCCAACCCCAAGGCAAGTTGGGCCCAACCTAGGAGGGCCCTCATAGAATCGCAGAGGCAAACAGGAATGGTGCATACGTGTTAGAAACAATGGAAGGATAGCAGATTCGAAGAACGTGGAATGCTAGGAACTTGAAGAAATATTTCTTTTAAACAAAGAAGGAAGGGTCGCAACCCCAGCTGACCAATGTGCTGTTTAGTATAGCACATCCCAAGTACTTAGAGTACATATGTCCATGCTTAGTGACATGAGTTCAATACTTAGTGTATTTAAAAGTCCGCGATCAATATAGAATGATAATGCAATTGCTGATCTTTGATATTTAGTGTATTAATTTATAACGATTGAATGTTCACATGCAAAACTCGATCGTTGGGTGCTAATAGCGCCTAATACTGACACTTAGTGTGTCAATGATAGCATGGGCAAAACGAAATGCCTAGCACATCAGGGCGCTGTATCTCCTAAATAATGTATAATAAACAAGCAAGCAAAACGATAAGCAAAGCGAGCAAAAGCAGACAATGCTTAGAGCATAGAAAATACGCATCCAGGAAAATAAAACATCGTTTTTAAAAGTACAAACATTACACAAGTTAGAAGCATCAAAACCTAAACCAACTAAGCAGAGAAATTTTCACACCCAAGGAGGGGTAGCACACGATGCCGGGGCACCCTCCCCAACATCCTCTCCAACACCCATAGCCACCTCACCAACATTATCATCACCAATACCTGCTCCATCACCACGATCACTTTCACCACCTGCCTCACCACCCTTACCATTATCCTCCTCATCAATCTCAACCACCAGCATAATTTCCTGACCCATCACACTTTCTGGAGTACCCTCAGAACCACCAAAAGAACATAACTCCTGAGGACCTTCAATACCTAACTCCCCCAAACCCAATAGAGATGCATGATCCATACTGGCAAAAGACAAAAGAGCATCGGTTACACTAAACGCAGGACCAACCAAAGAAGCACCAGCAACTACCTCCCCACCACCACCACTAGCAGAAGTCTTCTGAAGGGACTCAACCCCAGCCGCAAACGCATCGTGGAGGATGAGGCTTATGGAATTGGTAAAATCGGGATGCTCAATCAACTTATCAACAATACGAACAACACCAACACGCACTAAACAGTCTAGGTCTCGATGAGAAGCGTCCATATCCGACTGTAGCGACGACACAAACTTGTTCGATCAGCGGCATCACGCTCAAGACTCTCCACCTGAATCATCAAACCCTCATTCATCTGTGTGAGAGAGTCAACCTTGGCCTCCAACACGGCCCTGGCTTCATCAAGGACATTTTTCTCAGATGCTAGCAACTCGCACTTCTTCTCAGATAAACAGAGATCATCACCAAGCTCGTTGAGACGGCGCTCCAGACTTGCCACACGTGATCCATAGGCGGCATGCGCGGTCTCCATCTCGCCAAGTGTGTGGACGCACCAGGAACCTGTAACAAGATAAAACATGGCCTGCACTGCAGCGTAGGCCATATTGTGAGCAAGGGCAGCGTTACCCATCACCTCCATATCTCCAACTACAGCCGGAGGAAAGGCGTGGCACGAAAATTCCAAAGCATGGGCGCGCACAGAGAGTTGAGAGTCATTGCGAAGATCCCATGATGGAACAAAAACAATAGACTCAGAAGCAACATCTCCAGAACCACCATCCTTGGAGACTGCAGCTTGTCCAGGGACACCAAAACCTTTTGTTAGGGAGACTGTAGCTGAAATAGCAGGCTGTTTAGTCGCCCTGTTGATCCCTTCAGACTGTTGCGTGTCGTCATCAGGGTTCACTACCACACCAGTTGGTGTGGAACTCATAGAACTCAGCAGGTGAGAAAAGTTGCGCCTAGTATGTACCCTCTTGGTAGCAGTGGGCGCGCCAATAACTTGCTCACCCATGGCTTGTACAGCTTTTCGTTTCGCTTGCATCCACCGGACATCAGTGATGATTCCCTCCTTACTGTCCTCGCTATCCTCCATGGAGGAAGAAGGAACACCACCCAGGGGCATGACAACAGAAATGGGGCGAGCATGCAGCGGATTCTCCTCGGACGCTGATGAACTTGTCAGAGGAATGAGAGGAGCGACAGTTAGAGCAAGCTGATCCATCCGGCGAGGTGAAGGAAGCCGATCGACCAGATCCACCTCGTGAAACTCCAACTTGCCCCGATAATGTTTTCACAGCACCTCATCTATGGACAGAGAAGACTCAGCACCTAGGGAAAGCAGAACGGAAATATAAATAACACAAGAGTAATAAGGGGACGAAAGGGAAAAAAGGGATACAACGCTCACTATCAACGACGGAGAAGAACACCGCCAATTTTCCACGCCGCCTCCAAGAGGGGCTCATCCCTATCCTAGAAAGAAGCGCCTCAGAGTAATCTACAGCGGATACCTGCACACCATTCAAGTAGTCGACGACACCTTGATTGTAGGGAAAGAGTGTAGGGGAGGTATCGGCGAAAACGTTGGCACGGTAGCAACCACTCCCAACCAGCTCCTGATTCACCCACAACCATTTATCTTTCCAATTTTTTGGGGTACGCCTGTCGGGGACTAAAACGTGCCCCCCTCGTCGAACCGAGAAAGTGCATTTATCTCCGGTAACAGATATTCGGAAGAAAAACTTAAGACGAAGTAATCCGGAAGATACGCGTTGGCCCGACAGATCATTTCAAATACAACCACTTTGTTAACTGCATTGGGGGTCAACATCTGGAGGCTGCAACCATCTTTCTGGAGGACCTCCTCCTGGAAATCCGTTAGCGGAAAGCATATACTAGTGTCTAGCGTTTTCAGATAAACCCCAATCTTACCATGGGGAAGAGATAATGGAACCAGGAGAGGGAAACTACACACCCTCCAAGGAATACAAACCATAAGAGATCGCCAACTGACGATACTCGGCGGCGGACGGAACGATTATGGGAAGGTTTGCCATGAACAAAAATAGAAGATGAACGCAAAAAGGGAAAAAGAAGACCAGATAAGGCAAGAGAAATTATACAGAGACCCTTAATAAAGAAGTGGAAGAGGCGGCACATTTAAATGTCTGGCACAATGACGTAACTACCAGTCATATCTCGCAGTCACGTTGCCATTAAAGGCGGAGTGGCGGATAAAGAAAAACCGACACGCGTCAGATACTTAATCCTAGAACGCTGTAACTAGTGATGCAACGCTACGACTACTGGACTGGGGGACTTGGTGGTGTGCGTAGGGTAGCACAACAAAACCGCATCTAGCCCAAGAACCGGACATGCCAACTAAGATCAGCCCAACAGGCTCAGCGCCTGCTGGCGTCCCCGGGAGCAAAGCGTAGGCGAAAGGCTCGCGCCCTCATTGAGGCGCTCCTGACTCCAGGACAATAGATACGGTCAGGAGACAAGCAGTAGGATCAGAGCATTATCGTCTAAGCCAATGAGAGCGCTCTAACGGTTGAAGGCGCATGACCCTCCAATCAGTGCCTCTGATCCTGTCTCCCCAAAAGCGATTATGTCTGGTACTGCTCAGGCATAAGTGCTAGGTATAAAAGGATGTGCTCTCAGACATGTGATATAAGTTCTGTAAGCTTTCTGGAGAGAATACACACAAACCCTAGAATACCCTCTAACTTGACCGTTAGAGCGTTCTTCCGGGAGCTCCTCCCAGAAAGCGGCTGACGGCCTCTTTTCTTGTGATCTTGCAGTGTTAGTTAGACGATCGAGAGAAGTTCACAGAAGAATCTAGAGAAAGGTCGCATCAGCTGAAAAGCCCTGTTGGCTCATCCGCCAACCCCTGCCGCAGTTACAGCCAAAGTGGCTGTTGCGGCAGCTGTCTCTGCTAGAGCTGCATACTGCTCATCAAAGTACTCAACCATCACGGTCTTAATCGACCTAAGCATCTCCGACAGTTGCGCTCAGAACGCTGCAACAATATCATAGTGTAGAATCTCCCAAATCCTGGCATCCAATTCCTATATCCCTATTTGTACAATGGGCTTAGGTGCTACCGGCACCTCCGACCCTCCGTCTCCCGATCCTGATCCTGATCCCGTCCCTGAACCTGATCCAATAGTAAAACATCTCATCACCACCATAATGAAAAATATAACCAAGACGTCAGAATAATGACATGATATCGGAAGACCAATTCCCACAACCCTAGGGGTTGTGACTTCCTTGCTACGCGTATGGGTCTTGTGCTTTCAGTAGTATAGGCCCATACTACCTTCCACACCTACCCATATCTGTCTCAAGTATCATCACAATGCCCTAACACTATCATCAAAATAATATGCGCTCAACCCTTACTTCTAGGGGAATACCGACTATCTCGCAACTAATATCACAGCTTCTCACAGCTCACACATCCTTGGAACTTTCACCAACCCTGAAGCACTAGTGTATGCTAGCCACACATAACGCTGGACCCGATAGAATTTCGAATATCCAACCCTACACTAAGGTCGAATCACACATTCTCAGGCTATAAGATCTTGATTATACACAACCGTTATGTATACACTAAATATCTACAGTTATGATATTAATTCCATATACGAGAAACCCTAGGCTAGTAGGCATCATATAGTTAGGCAAATCTTATCATGCGATTCCTGAGGATTCCTAGCCTAGCACTAGCATGTTGTTCTAGCATATCATAATATCAAATAACTGTATGGTATTTTGGGGCTTACTTACAGGCTCCGACTGATCGTACCCTCTGCATCCTCCATCCTTATTTTGAAAACCATTTTAGTATTAATTTCGAAAATTCCCTTGATTGGAGACTAGATTCACACGAGTTTTCCTCCAATTCACTCAAACCAAGGCTCTGATACTAACTTGTGACATCCAAAAAATTTACGCCAAATTTAATCTTTTTCAGTCATAAATAAAACCAAATAGTGTTTGTTTACAAAAATGTTTTCAAATCATTATTCATCAGAATGTCCCAATAACTAGATCAAATGGATGAGGAGCGGCACGATCATGCCTTTGCCTTGCCATGATCTCCTGAAGTACCTGAAACAAAAAACTGAAAACTGTAATCCCGAAAGCTTAGTGAGCTTCCCCCAAAATACCAATACCATGCTGATAAAACCATATAAGTAACAGACAATCAATAACATGCATACTGGGCCATCGGCCTGACTGGACCACCCTACAGGGACTTCGGTCTATCTGATCAAATCCTGAGCCTTCGGCAAGACTGGACCGCCACGTGGGCCTACAGTTTCCCTGGACCGCTTATAGGGTATGTTGGCCTTCAGCACAAAGCACGACCGCCTCAACCCAACTGACAAGCAAATAAGCATGTGCGCATAACTATCATATATTGGCATATACAAACATCAAACATATATATCTCACTGATCATCAATCATAGAAATCTCTCATAACTAGGGTACCGACCTATTAGGTCACTAACATACCAATCCCTACGTATCATAAGAGCATAGTATATTGTCTATCCTGATTTCGATCTAACAGATCATAACCACATGTAGCACATCATAGCAATAACAACTTAAGGGTCGACCTTGGTGCCGTAAAGCCTATGGATATAGTGAGGATAACTCAACTTGAAGATGTCGACTTGGTAGATGAACTCCAACTCTCGGATCACTTTCAAAAGCTCCACCACCTATTACCATAATATAATTATACCCATAAGTTCCCAACCTTTCAAGGTATCACAAGAACCAACTAATTAGACCCTGGTCCAAGTCAAAGTCCTCAGTCAAGGTCAACAGTCCATGTTGACCATACTTTCCGAGTCCCCTCGGCTACTCGCTGAGTTCCTTGAAGTACTTGTCCTCAGTCAAGGTCAAATCCAAGCTTACAATGGGGTTTCATACTCAAGGAAGGTTTCATACATGGCCAACTTCATAGATTTCTGACTTTAGAGCCCAATAAAGGTCAAGATCTGAAATTATAACTTTAGATATAGCTCATAACTTACATTATTATCTCAATATGCCATAAAAGCCCTAATTCTCAACCAAATGAGGTCTAGGAGGAAAATGAAGTAAAGAGGGTGACTTGATATCTTCAAGTGATGCCTACTGAGGTAGATTTCTGATTCTCACACCTTCCTTGCTCCTAATCTATTGTCCTCCAAGCTCTCCCTTTCCAAAAACTCCTCTCTAAAGATCAAGACACACAAGGATGAACCCCACACGAATTAGGGTTTCTCAATGTACTGCAAAGAGGCTAAAGGGGCTTATGCTTCTTTAAATAGGGTGAAAAATCCCGAGATTTAGTGTTTAAACAATGCTATGATACCAATCTGTCACACCCCAAAACCGAGAACGGCGAAATACGTTCTGGGGTGGAGGACATCATGTACAGTATCATAATAATGCATAATAGTAAAGACTAGCAACAACATCCATTGCATTAGTATAATAATTGTAATACAAGTGTGTTTTATACAATTTGATAGATACCAAAAGTATAATGAAAATAAAAGATGAGTCTTGTATATACTCCATATTCTCAAAAGTTGCATCTGTACCTGTCTACTGATGACCTTAGAATACAAGTTTTTTTGAAAACGAGTATCAGCATAAAGATGGTGAGTTCATAAGTATTTAGTATCATTGCTTGTATAAAAGTGTTTAAAACTAAGTAATACAATAATTGTTATCAAGTTTTGAAAATAGTGTGATCCCTAGAAAATCCTATATTTTCTAGCAAAAATAGTCTTCCACCAAGACTCGGTTATTTGTAAGTTTGATTCTTTGAGAAATGAAAAAGTTTTTCCAGTGAAACTATCAGTGTGAAAATATAGTTTTAAATTTCCTTCATATAAAGAAATTAGGAAAAATAGAGTTTTACCCCAACAGTGTTACTGCTGGCTGAACGTAGTAGAGATGCAAATTGCAGATAGTATTAAATGTATATACACCTTGGGAAGTCTATTTTACCTTTAATTCTTGATGTGCTAAATAAGGTCTGAATGTGGACTCGTATGTAACCATGTTGAGTGACAGTAGTATAACAGTTGACCCTCTAAGTCACATGTAGTCTAGTGATGTTTTCTCATCCCTGGGCCTAGTCGGCTCGGACTGTAACTAGCAGTCGGGATGTGGGAGTGTCCGTCCCGTATATATCTATACACATAGTGTTCGCCCTCTTTCTAGGAGGCTCTGGTTACACGAAAATCGCATAGTGGAGTGTCGTATCGAGAAGTAGTATATTACATTCTATTTTAATATATTGTCTCGTACTTAGAGTATAATGTACTTCTTTGTATTACGTATTGCATGTTTGTTCTCTTGTATAGTATATAGTATTCTATTCATATAGTGTATATTGTTCTTTCTTATAGTATTTAGCATGTATAGACTCGTAACTGTACGGACCATAGTGAATATCATAGTAACATTAGTAATGAGTGGTGATCCTTAACTATACCCATTATAGTTAAATAGAGAGGTTAGTTGAATGCCTTTGATACACAAAGGCGTTGAACTAAATTGAAGACTTTTATATCCAACACAAATATATATGATATATAACTAAGAATTCAACGATAGTCGGACAGATAACCGAATACCCTAAGTCCACAATCAAACAAGAACAGGAAATAAGGTGAGCTATTAGTTCTAAATGCTTAAATCCTTACTTATATAAATATATTGGTGTAGATATGATTTGGAAATAAAATAACTTTGAAAGCATTGAAAGTAGTTTTAGAACAATTAAACATGAAAATGAGTTTGATAAACATTTAACACAATTTTGTTGGCAAGGTAGTTTGAAAGTATAGAAAATCCTTTTGGTAACAATTTATAAATCACATATGATTAGTATTATAATTTGTTTGGTTCGACTTGTATTCCCCCCCCCCCCCATAAAAGCATATAAAAATCATTTAGAAAGGTTGATTTA